CATACTGTTGTCGGACTAAGTATCTTAATTATACATACGTACTTATGTTTTCCAAAATACAGTGTTTTGCAATTTTATCTCGTTACCTCAACACACTGACAGCAACACTGACTGACAGTTCACAAGGAAAATATTAAAGTATTTAACAGTTAAATTTTAAATTTAAAATAAAATTAAAATTAAAATAAAATTTAAATAAAACATTTTATAAATATTTATTAATATTTATTTATTTGTTAATATTATAATTATAAAAATACTAAATAATAAATTAATTAATACTTAATTAATAGTAAAGTAAATAAATAAATAGTTATTAATATTTACAAATATTTTATAAAAATATATTTAAAAATTTAATCTTTGGGCTGGAGATGCAAGGCTAATATAGCTAAAGACTAACAGAGCCATATAGCACGATTGGGTGGTGTCCACTTGTTTCATAACGTCAAATTTCTCAACTTAAAAATAATTAGAATTAGTTTTCTTTTGGTAGACAAACAACAAATGACGCCTAGTTGTGTAAAAAAAAAAAACAACAAAAAAAAAACAATTATTTTATTGATTTTAAATTGATTTTTGGTTATTTTCTAATTTAAGTGACCAGATTTTTATTACAGCAACACAGTAAAGATAAAGATAAATGTGTAAAAACATTTTTTCCTGCAAATTTATTTTTCACAATATGCATACTGTTGTCGGACTAAGTATCTTAATTATACATACGTACTTATGTTTTCCAAAATACAGTGTTTTGCAATTTTATCTCGTTACCTCAACACACTGACAGCAACACTGACTGACAGTTCACAAGGAAAATATTAAAGTATTTAACAGTTAAATTTTAAATTTAAAATAAAATTAAAATTAAAATAAAATAAAATTTAAATAAAACATTTTATAAATATTTATTAATATTTATTTATTTGTTAATATTGTAATTATAAAAACACTAAATAATAAATTAATTAATACTTAATTAATAGTAAAGTAAATAAATATTTATTAATATTTACAAATATTTTATAAAAATATATTTAAAAATTAAATCTTTGGGCTGGAGATGCAAGGCTAATGTAGCTAAAGACTAACAGAGGCATATAGTAGAGTTGGATGGTATCCACTTGTTTCATAATGTAAAACATTTTTTTAATAGACAAACAATGATGCCTAGTTGTGTAATAAAAACAAACAAACAAAAAAAACAAAAACAGAATGATTTTAAATTGATTTTTGGTCATTTTCCAATTTAAGTGACCAAACTTTAATTACAGCAACATAGTAAAGATGAAGATAAATGTGTAAAATATATAAATATTTTATCTTGTTACCTCAACACACTGACAGCTATAGAGGCTTTTCTTCTTACTTGTGCCACAACATTTTGTTGTTTTGCTTGAAATCCTCACAGTTCACAAGGAAAACATTAAAGTATTTAACAGTTAAAGATTCAACAGTTAGAAGTAACACCAAAAAAAAAAAAAAGATAAATATCAGTAACAGTCAGTCAAACAGTCACATTGCAGTAATGAGAAAAAAAGGGTAAGAAATACTTTAAAATTGATCTACTAACGTATATGAATAGTTCAGATCTGTGTGTTGCTTGATACTCAAGTGTTTATGGACATGTTTTGAGGCTGCTTTGCGAGAATGACCTGCGTAACATTTGATTTTTAGCTGCTTTAAGCAATGCAATCCGCTGGTCCTCATGCTCTTTCTCCAGTTCCAGAAGCTCGTATCCCCCCTGAGCGAAGCCGCCGGGCCCCTCTGCTCCGAACTACTCAGCTATTACGGGACAGCAAATTGTTTTCCTACCGCTCAGCTAAAAATACCCGAACCACAATCACTGGAAACGAGCAGCATGGGACCCATGCTGTGGGGAGAACGGGAGGAGGCCGCGCTGCCGCACATCAACGTCAAGAACTTGACAGCGCGAGTGGCATAATTCAGAAGCGGAGACAAATTGACAGGCTGTTTGATTTCTTCATCTGGCTTAGCAACCGCCAAAACACGTGCAGGGCAAGTTTTGCCTGAAAATCCCAGTTAAAAATGGAGGGGTTTCAGAGGCAGCTACTGACTCGTGGCAAACTGGAATATCTTGCTTTTCTTAGCTTCGGGGTGGATGATAAATGATTTAAAGCGTGCTGAGAGACACACGCCTGTTAGCTTCGGCAACGTGTTTTCATGTCCTCACAGGACAAGCAGAGAACGAAGGCAGGGAGGAAGGAACCGTCACTCCTGAAGATCACAGATAATCCCATCAGTCGACTTAGAGTCCATTTATTAGTGGTTTCCAGTGCAAAGCAACGGCATTTCATTATGATTATGGAGTTGACACAGGTTGCAGGCCAAAGGGCTGGATTGTACAAAGCTAATTAAATCTTACGGGTCGTTCTCCACTGAGGGCTCCGACCGCCTTCATCACCAAAATTGCTTAAGGTGTCGGAGAGCGAGTGAATAATGGGAGATCAGAGCAGATATTGGCTGCCCTCACAGAGATGTCCTTATGTTTGTCTAGGCCTTTGACAACTGGGGTCAATCACAAAAGAAATTGAAATGGATTAGCCGGCTTCAAAAACAAAAATCAATTGCGGAGCTGAAAAGAGACCAACAGAGCCCCGACAAGGACCACCGTGGACTTAAACGAGGACAGAAGATGCACACAGCGTGAAAAAGTGGAGCACTGAAGCTAGATTTCCAAAATAACCCGCCTTGAACTACCTGAATGAGATAGTACAAGTTGACTGTGATCTTCAGGGCAGCGGTCACCAGCCCTCCTCCTGGAGATTTACTGTCCTAGAGGCTAGTTCCACCCACAACCTGCCACACCTGCTCCAGCTAATTAACTTCAGAAGTGCTTGAGAGGCTGGATCAGATGTATTAATGAGCGCGTTTACATGCGCTCAATAATCCGATCATAATCAGATTGCTGCAGCTATCTGATTATTCAAACGGTCGTGTAAACAGCACACTCTGATTTCTCAGTTCAGAGTAAGGTCAAGAAATCCGATAAAGAGGCTGAATTTTAGCTCAGTAATCAGATTTCTCAGTGCATGTAAACTCTTACTCTGATTTCTTTCGGATTTCTCAGCCTGAGCAGGTGCGAAAACACGTGGCGGTACTGGAAATAAGAGAGCAGCGTTGCTGAGAGACGCAGCAAAACACTTTTGGAACGACGGTGAAACCAAATACATTCTTGACGAAATGAAGGATTTAAATATTCTTCATCTTCTAGGCGATGTAAGTTCATATTTTCAGGTAAAGTGGCTCAATGTGTTTAAAAAAAGCCGCTCATGAAGTTTGAGTTTTACATTTCGTTTTCGCCACGTCTTCTTCTGTGAGTTTATTGGCTGGGTGCAAAGCAGAAATCTGATTACTATCTGACTCATGTAGATCCAGAGTTTCCCATTATCTGATTACTCAAGTGCATGCAAACACGATGATCAGATTACTGACAAAATCTGATTTTCTGCAGTTATCAGATTATTAAATGCATGTAAACACACTCAGTGTTAGGCAAGTATGTTAGATGTGGGTTGAAATTAAACTCTGCAGGAAAGTCAATCTTTATTTCTAGTCAAGAACCTTTATTTCTAACAGTGTACGGATCAACCTATGTAGGCCGATGCCGATACGTTAATAATTATAGAACATAGAAACTGGGTCTAGATCCACCTAGATTGGCATTACAGAGATATACAACATTTATTTATATCAGGAGGAAAGATCTACTCAAGTCTATCACAGAAAAGAACCCAAAAGGAACAAAAGGAGAACCTAAATGACAAGCCAATTAGCCTAAAAAAAAATTTAAATAAAAAAAAAAAACACACTTGTAATTTACCCCAATAATCACCCTCCTATTTATCCAGAGCCTCCCAAACTAGAAGTGTTAATTACCTACATATTTTTGATCATTAAGCTGTCCAGTTTAATCAGTTAAAGGCCAATTTTGAATAATGTGAAACTGATTTGCACATCAGATTAGCATATTCAATACGTACGCACACACTTACTCTGATATAGTATGTTTTTTTTTATTAAAAGCACATACAGTACTGGGCAAAAATCAGAGACCTTTGATTTATTAATTTATCATTTACTCATTTATCCAGGCAAAACAAAAACTAAGATACAGCATCTTTTGTCAACAAACAGTGTGTCGCTTTTTATCTTTATCACAGCTTCCAGGAGACTCACTTTCAGTTTTAAAGAAATCTGTAAAGATGTTTTTCCACACCTCCAAAGTTCAGTCTTAGAAGTTGGTATTTTCTGCTTCTCACAATCCAAGTAATCCAAACACATTCATTGACATTGAGGTCTGGACTCTGGGGTGGTCAGTCCATTGTTCAGCTTCTTTGTTTGATGTGTCCGTCTCCTTTTCTCAGTGAGGTTCTTCTTAACAGCTACACATCCTTTCAGACCCACAGCGCTGAGTCGTCTTCTCACAGTGGAAGGATGGACAGAAACACCTGTGGATGTTTTCAGATCTGAAGCAGCTTGATTTTCTCCTCTCTCTCAGAGATGAAAGCTTTAAGTGCTGCTTATCTGATGGGGGCAGTTTTGGGGTCTACCAGGTTTTGCACAGTTGTTAGGAGTCACATTTTCTGTAGATCTTTTTTTGAACTCCAGTTTTGGAAACTGTTTTTTTTCAGTTCTTTTATTCTCACTTTTCTTATGAACTAGCACTTAATGACTGTTTTGACTGGAAATTAAATAAATGGAGTGTGATTTCTGACTTTTGCACAGAACTGCGTAACTCCAGTTTGCAAATTAAGGAACACAATTCACTTTGTTCTGCGTACTACAGTTAAGAAAAATGAGTAAACCACCCTAAAGCAACCCCACCCAGCTCAACCCATTCCGACCCAACCCATTCCGACCCAACCCAACTCCACCCTATCCATTCCAATCCAATCCAACTCCACCCTACCAAACAACTGTTCCAACCCAACCATTAATCTAAATGTTGGCAAAAAAACAATTAACAGCACACGTACCTGCAGGACCAGAGGCTCCGGGTTGAACGCCAACGTCATGAGTAGCTGCATCCTCTCAGTGTCCTTAAGATTCTTCAAGAGGAAGCTTCCGGAGTCCTTGGTCTCTGCATACCTCCTTACCACCCTGTCCAGAAGCCTCTGGGAGGGGCAGTGCACCAAGTCCGACCAACCCTCAACCACCTCTGGGGTCAGCAACCTCACGTTGCCATTAAGTCGAGCAAACTCAGTTTTGTACATGCCCTGGATGAGGTCACAGCGAGGCCTTCCTGTGGCTCTTTTGCATATTTTCTGATCGATCTCTGCAAGCTCCTGGTTGGAGCCCAGGCGCTTGAGCACCACGCGCCGGGTCCCTTCCCGGGGCTCTCCGTACTGGCCGAAATAGACGTTTTTCACGTTGAAGAAGTCCAGGAATCGCAGCCGGCCCCAGGTCTCGAAAGTGACTTGGCCGTTCATGAACTTGCGGCACCAGCTGGTCCCGAAGCAGGCTGGGCACTTGTTGAGGCCGATGAAGCGGCGGTCCGTGAGCTCGTTCCTTTGGAAGGAGGCGAAAAGATTGTGGGTGTTCATGAGCAGGATGACGAACAGAGCCACGATGAAGAGGAATTTGCCACACCGGTAGACGCGGGCAAACTTCAGCGAAACTAAACGCAACATGCTGTGGCACGAGGACGATCAGGGTAGTTCAGTCTTCCTCAATGCCACCGTCTCTTCCTTGCTACCTGCTTCGTCATGAGCATTCTCGTCACCTAGAGCAATCCACGCTGACAGCCCGGCTGTCGGCCTATGCCATCAGGCACAAGAGCCATTGTCCCCATGTCTGGTGCTAAGTCTCTCAAGCTTTCATATCAATCTTCCTCCTTAGGGGTCGGCCTCACCTTGAAAAGACAAGAGAGATCACATTTTAGGCTTAAGATTCACAGCTGAGTCAAAGGACTACACATTACCGGAGCACTATAGATTTAAATGAGAGCAGAAGATGCACACGGCATGAAAAAGCAGAGCACTCAAGCTAACTCATTTCGAGTGAATTCCCTGCGAAAGATGATATACGTTCATGATTCATGCCTAACGAAACTCCTTTAGGACATCCCGGCATTCGCCCTGACCAAGAGAAACGCTAAATGTGCACACCCACAGAGCTGCTCTAAGGTCTTTGTCAGCGGCATCTCTCATTTGACAGAATGGATGCCTAAGCAGGAACTAGATGGAGCCCATTAAGGAGAAATTAGGCTTCATCCATCTAAATGGAAAAAAGCTGTGACAAATGACAAACTAAGTATAAGCAGGCCTGCTGAAAGAAGAACAGGGATTTGGAGACCCAGACAAATGCTTGATGTGCCTCATTTGCAAGAGAAAGCAATGTATCAGTTGAATCTGATAAAAGTTTTAGCAAAAGGTCCTGATCCCATCAAATACGTGACACATATTTAATGTGGGCTACGGTGTTCCAGTGCTTTCTATTAGCCAACCTTGCAGTACAGATAGCATTATTTGTTCTTTAATGGGCCAAACTGCATTGTAAATTCTAACCCCATTAACCTGACAGGAACAGTATTGGTCCCCACTCCAAAAAAAGGATGCAGCTCTTTTAAATCTGCTGCCAGAGGAGTTACGTCACCTGCACGTCAAGTTTGCAACAACATAATTTTATAAAAGTTTAGCATGTAAAATTGGAGCTTCCTGTGTACCATGTTTTCTATTAATGTATAAAAGATGCATGAGGCTTCCTTTGTTGTTGGATGGACCGTGTTTTTTGATTATTACTGCTTTGCCTTATCAAAGTAGTGATACAACAAGACTGATGTGTGACACATTCCTATTTATGACTTTTCTGGTTTACACAGATAGTTTGTGACAAACTGAATAAAAAAATTAAATAAAAATAGCAGTTATTAACAGATTAAAGGGCAGAAATAGACACTTTTCGGCAACAGCCGTAAGCAAATCTGCTGCATGAATCAAATAAAGTGCTACGTAGAAGATAAGAGGGCGCTGGCTATTTAGCACAATGAGTCATGCATAATTATGCTACCACATTTCGGCATAGGTGCAGCAGCAAATAGAGCGCACTCACCTGCCTCATGTTATTTACATCATAAAACTGCAACACAAATTAGCCAAAATAAAAGAAAAACAAATAGGCCGACTGCCAGTTGCATGTTTAGAGCAAATATCTGGAGATTCTGATTGTGCAGCACATTAGACACGTTTTACAATGAAGGAGAAAAGGAAAATTTCTTAGAACAGAAGCGAAAACGTGAGCTCTGCAAGTTTGACAAGTCATTAGACGCACAGCAAAGACAGTTCCTCTACTATTCCTCAATTAAAAGTTCATTATGCAAAGTTTCCCCTTAAACCCTACAAAAGGCACAGTGCGTGGCAAGGAAATTACTGCCCGCTTCGGTGTCCTTTATCACTCTCCGCTTCCTTTTATTTTAAGTCTTAAATGAATTCAGCTGAGTCAACTGCATAAACGGGGCCCCGGCAAATCTCATTTGTATGATCCCTCAAAATTAAATTTAATTGGGTACAATAATTAGCGAGATAACGAGAAACCCCAAGGATATTAGGATGTGTTCCAAGAGCAATTTGATAAGGCCGGACAATAGCGTACATATCTCGTTCTTGTCCTGACTCTCTTGACAAGGAAATTTAATTACTTTAAAAAACGATAGGGACCGCTTTTGTTCTCCATTCGCCACCATTTACACTCACCTTAAAGAGACTTTACACATCTACAAATTAGTCCTACACTCCAACTAAATGAGCTACCATCTAATTGCCTCACGCCAATGAGTCATCATCCATCTCACGCCACGCTGCCTCAATTCTCCCTTTACGAAAGACTTCAACTTTTTAGAAGACTTTACAAACATGCACGTACAATAAATGCATAATGCTTGAGAGAAAGGAAAAATGGTAAACTAAAACTGAGCAAGCAATTCAGGCAGGCGACTGAGGGCAAGCTCTGGCATGCTGACCACATTTCATCCAAATGAAATGCATCATTTCTCAGGCACTGCATCAGTACTCCAACGTCTGGTATTGTTCTCACAAGGCCACGGAATGGATTGCTTTGTCTTCATATCTAAATCTATGCTGGTCAACACAGTACAACCACTCATCATAGCATCTCTGCTCTTCTGGAACTGAGAGCGGTGAATCGGATTGGCGGCTGGCTGCACCACTCAATTCAAAAGGCCTGAATTGCAGCATTCAACCTTGCCAGATGTTGCACAAGTCAGGTTAAGATGGCTTTGGCTTTATTCAGGCCGGTGCCTTTTCAGTTTCGGCTGTACGAAGACAGACACTCCACAATAGGTAGGCAATGTAACACGTCCAGGTGATACTGCTGCCTAGAAATCAAGGGTATATGCTAGAAGTGGGACGGATTCGATCCAATATTGGTATCGGGACCGATATTTACGTAATTCATTCATTGGATATCGGACGGACTGGGCCGATCCACTTACCCATCCATATTCCAGTCGGCAGCTTGCGCTGGACCATGAACCCACCGTAACATGAAACGTCACCGATCCAGATTCCATTCCACATCTTACCATGAACCCGCAACTTCAGTCTGTAACTGAGTGAGCAAATACCATTAGCTGTTGGTTTGACTAAAATGTAGAAACGGCTGCAGAGGTTTCACGTGAAAGAGTATCAGGAGTTTATGCCAGCTAACAGGATGACACCGCCCGGAAGACTCTCGGATGCTTTCCAGAAACATGATACACTTCCAGCAGACAACCCAAAAGCTAAAGGGATCACAGAGAAGTTGCTGAACTTCATTATACTCAATGACTAACTGTTATCTGTGGTGGAAAATGTCGGATTTCGCCCAGGTATAATCAGTCACTGTACACGAAGTGTCACCACAAGCTGCGTTTACATGCAGCCTAATAATCTGACTAACAGCTCAATCGGAATAGAATACGTCCACGTAAACATTTCAATCGCAATAGTCTAGTCCAATTGAGGCCATTCGGAATACAGTTTCTATCCGATTTATCGAGGTGGGTAATCCTGTAAATAATCTGTTAAATAGAAGAATAATAACCATGTAAACTCCTGTATCTGATTACATTCCCTATCGGAAAGTTTAAGTACGTTCTGATCATGTTCGTCATGTCATAGTGAGAGTTTATACCGTTCAACATGGCGGAGCAGAAACTGGTCTGCAGAGGAGACGAAGTTTATGCTCTGATCTTTAAAAGACGGCGGTGGGACGGACGTCCATCTTATGAGTCTCAGAACACGACGTCTTCCTCTCGGCCTTCTTTAATAAGGACATGTGAAGGACGTTTTCCTGAGTCTGACATCATTTTAAAGCAATTAAAAACACAAGCACTGCTCACTGCTGCTCATCTCACTCTGACTGGACTCAGATGACGTTCGCTGTAACGGTAACGTTTACTCTCAATGGTTCTCCACGCATGCGCATCATTTTGGATCAGATTACTAGTGAGCATATAAATGAAGATTTTCATCAGACTGTTGAGTAGAGTGAGCATAAACACCCGAGCTGTAATCTGTAATTGGAACTTATTCAATCAGATTGGCAAAAGTCTTTGCATGTAAACACAGCCACAGTTTGTGGTGCAGTTAGCTAGATGTTAAGGCCATGAGCTTCACAACTGACATTTGGACCTCAGATGTGAGTCCAGTGTCTCTCATAAGTCTCACTGTACACTGGGTGAACTCGGAAACATATGCACTACAGATTGCAGAGCGTCAGGTGAAAAAGTGCAGGGGGTCACACACCAGCAGTTCAGCTGCAACCTCCGTTACAGACATGCTTAGTGACTGGAAGATTAAACACCTTAAACACAATACCAACAATAAAAATGGTAATATTAAAGTTAAACGCTCTTGCATCGGAATCTGTATCGGTATCGGCAGTTGTGTCTCGGAATCGGACTGGAACTAAAAAAATGTGGATAGGCCCATCACTAGTATATGTTACAAACTGAGAAAAGATGCGATTGAATGGGAATTTGAATTGAAAGTCATTCGGAGTGGTTTAATCTGACATGATGCACTGCAGAGAAACTTACTGACTCAGATCTTTCACAGCGGTGGTGACATGAAACAGTGGTCGCCACGTCTTCAATGCAAATACAGACATTTTTAGCCTACTATCCAAAACCACCAGTGAACCTACATATGTGAAGTTTAGAATGGCAAAATAGTGCTAAATTTGAAAATTTTAAGTTTTCTTTGGGATTATTTTCCCTCACAACACCCTGCATGTACCTCTCCATCTTGTCTATATTTAAAATATACACATTTAGACAGTGATGGGAAATTCTTCTTAAGGTATGGGTTTTTATTACCGCTATACTGTTATGCAACAAATACACGCAGTTGACACACACACAGTGCAAACATCCTCCTCCCGTGTAGTGAGTTGCAGTAAGTTTGTCCAGTTTGTTGTCGAAGAAGCAAACATCAGAACGTAATGAATAAATGAGCTGAAAGGGGGATGAGGGATAGAAAAAGCTAGTCTCTGGTGGTTCGCTGTTAGACTTGCATAAAGCCTAGTATGGAGGCTTCCTGTGCGCACTGCCTACTCAGCTAATACTGATAGCGTGTAGTATTTACCATAATTCCAGCTGTGTCTGTTAGTTGCAGATAAAAACAAACATTTTCAGTAGCCTGCAGTGTTTTTATTTCACCTTTTGGTATCGGCTCAGCTCGCTGGGAACTTTGACTGAGGTGATACCAAAAAAAGTACCTGGAACCAGGTACTAGATTTGCCTAATGGAAAAACCAAAAAAGGCAGGTAGAGTCGAGTCAAGCCGGGACTATGCTGTGGAAAAGAGGCTTAAAATAACATTCAGCATCTTTCTGCCAGGCTCAGAGAAACCGC